AAGCCATTTAAAAATTACAGCATTACAACAGCCATTTAAACAGCAGGAAAATTAGGCATTTTCTTTAGTCAAAACGTTTTTTTTTTTTTTGTGTTCCATTACATAAATTTACGATATTCTTTTATTTTTTTCTTATAATATGTATGCCATTGACGTGATATGACGTGGGTAACGACGTGATGAAAGAATACGCAGATTCTCAAAAACACATACACAATTCATACAAAACAGTTTTGAATATCAATAATATTCTATATGTTATACAAGTTTTAAATGAATATTTCTCAAGTTTAAATTTGAATATATTTTTATTAATTTAAGTAATTGACATAATTTTCAGCTTTTTTATCAGATACTCTATTATTCACACAAAATGTAAATATAAATGTTTTATGCTAATAAATCTGCAATAATTTAAATGAGAAATTAAACATTGATTGCACATTCACTCTAAAACTACTGAGCAATTTTTGATGAAATATGGGTCAGAGAGAGTATAGATCTTGATGTGATATTCTGCATCTATACTAATAGTATAAAGAGGTAACATTTGTAAGTTTGTATGTAGGGGGTAACCTTTGGAACCACTGGTAGGATTGCCAAAATTCTTTCACTGATACTGAGCTACAATATTCCTGAGTGCTATAGGCTATAAAACATCACGCTACGATTAAATGGAGTCGAGCAGCGGGATGAACCGCGCGAGAGTAGCTAGTATTCTATATGACGTGACAACCACCTTGAACAGTCACAGACAAAGTGAAATGCTATTATAAGAGTACTGTAATTAATAAAATGTTCACTCATCACTCCTGAAAAAATATAGATAGGACAGAATATTGTGAACATATCCTTCTGAATAACTGTTGTAATATTTCTATTGTATTATTATTAGATAAATATATTGACACAACTTGATAACAACTGTAATTGATAAGCTATAATTGAACTTTACAAGGGGCAATTAATCAATGAATCATTTAATTGACTTTGTAAAAGTACAAATGTAATTGGCACTTTTGGTCAATCTTGGCAGACAAGACAGGCATAATATATAAATTTTATTTTCGAACTTTCTATTTTTAAATTAATAAAGTAACTAATTTAGAGACTATTGCATGAAATTCATATAAATACCAAATTAACTTATGTAGCAGATATTTCATACAAATAACTTCTATATTAAAATTATCAAGTAGGCCTAATTGAATCAGTTTGAAAGTAATTTATTAGGTGAAAAACTCTTCTTCATGTCTACCTAGGGATCTCTTCATCCCCAATTCTCCCTATATAATATCCTCAGAAGGTTGGTATGTACTCTTTACACTTCTAATGTTTCAGGTTTCCATGTGTCATGCTGATTGCTTATCATCAGGCGAAAGGTCTGCTCTTTTGTAACCATTCTCATAAAAACACACATTTATATGAAGTAGCAATGGTAAATTAATGTTGTCTACTGACTGCTTTGTCCAACCCTTTCAGAAAATTGAAAATCTATGGGTCCAACATCTATTTTATTTTATGACTTTTATGAAAATTTTATCAACTAACCTTTTACAATCATATCTGCTAGGTGATAGGGATAGAGCATGAGCCTCTGTATGCTGCTCTGCACAAGTGTTTCATAGTACTTCTTCTCATCTTTGCGCACTGTCCTTACTGCAATACAAACCATATTTAATTCATACTTCTTGTATTTCTTTACAATTAATTAATATTGCAATATACAGATTTTTACGTAAGATAATCATATTGTAATTTGATTTCATTGAAACACATCTGTCATGAAGGTCAATTAATGTTTATTGAAGAGAAATGTTTAATAAATTTTTGATAACAATAAGTTATAGTATTTCAATATATAAATCATAAATGATTAACACTCACCCAGGCTACCTCTGTACCTCAATTGATTTTTTATACTAAATTCGAATATGTACCTTTCATATTCTTTTGGGGAATCACCCAACAGCTGAAACATCAAAACAAATATTCGACTTACATGTCACTCACTTCATAATAGAGAAATAGTGCAAACGATTAATTAACCACACTTATTCCACACTCTCGCTACTGTAGATAAACATCATTACCATTGATAATTTAAAACAATAACAATAGTTATATTTTACCTTTTTTACAGGCGCTGGTAATTGCGACCACTGTGTTTTTTTTCTGATACATTCCTCAATTTCGTCTTCCATGGTACTTGACCATTTAAATAACGATTAAATAATTACATTGATAGCAAGTTACTCGTAACGGCCTTGGATAAATGGATAAACTCTGCACAAAATATTTTTGATGATAAAAGCAAGCAAATACTACTGTTGCGTTCAGAGCAATCGCATTATTATTTTCTTTGTAAAATATGTATAAATAAACTTACATTAAGAATAAATTAATTTCAAACTATAAAAAATGGTCCATTTCGTAATATTGTATACTACTAACCTAATTATATATTCAAGTTGATAGAAACTAAAACGAAAATATTTTTGTATTCTATTTTTATTATCTGTCACCGGGATAATATTAGATGAAATCGGGTATTCGAACGTACTTGACATATGTCACCAAGAAATATTAAGAATCTGACGTATATTTAGTAAAGTTGCCATATAATTAAGAGTGCAATCGATCGATTAAGATTCACATAATGTATTAAAAGTATTATTAAATTGGAAAACACGCACGGCCTAACGGCCAATCTAAAAGGAAAGTAAAATAAGCTTAACGATCATAATTTTCAGTGTTTCAGGCTGACCTATGTTCTAATATCAAGAAGACCGTTTTTTAGATTGTTAATTCGAATATTTCGAAGCCTATTCAATGGCAGTAAGCCACATTTTTGTTTGTTCTCATCTGTATTCTGAGTTCTCAATATGATTCATAAAATTTATGAGACTTGCTAGATATACGGTACATAAATAAATTAAATGCTAGGGGTCAATTTCTAAGTAAATAAAAGAGCAGGATTATTCAATACTTTATTGGAAAATAAAAAAAATCCGTAGTTTGTACAGCATAATTACACAGAATTATTCATATAAGAAAGTCCGTAGATATAATAACATATTCTGTCAAGTATATGTCGTAATATTGCATTCAGAAACAGAACTCGAAGTTGGTCCTAATGAAAAAGTGGTTTCAAAAGCCGTATGTATTTGACTAATCATATCAGATGCCAACATTGATTGTCCGTAAATTAAATAGGCTTTATAATTACTCATTCTAGTGATCTTAGCTGCCGCATAAGCAGCGACGCTTTGGGCGAGTTGCGTTCGGCTTTCGTTTTCACAAAGTTCTTTGTTCAAAGCCCAATGGTAAAATGTACCCAGAGCTCCAGACAATATATCCCCTTGTCCACCAACTCGACGTGACGAACCACCCCCCGTTGCTACCCAGCTGTAGGACGTCATATTTGTATAAAAGTGGTCTTTATCACCTTTAACCAAAACTGCTACGCAATTCCCCCAATAATTGTACCAGTTGCTATCGTTTTTGGAAACGGATTCCATTAACCTATTCGCCTCTCGTAAATTTGGTGTCATGATCACTCCAGGACATGGATAATCTTTGATTAAAGATGTGTTTTTGGATATAGCAAAAATACCATCCGCATCAATAACAAGGGGTTTTTTCAGTCTTCTACAGTCTTCAATAACATCCGATATTAACTGTATTGTATCAGGTTCTCTACCCAATCCAGGTCCAATGACGATGACATCCATTTTAGGTAATAACGACCTGATTTTCGATGCATATTTAGGACTCAAATATGGATATACTATAAGATCTGGACTATAAGTTTTTATGACTTGTGCCGCACTATCTGTCGTTATAATATAAGCTAAGTCTCCTCCAACCTGAAAATTAACTCTAATTTAATATTTTTTTAACCAAACGGCTCTAAATTTTACGATATTTAATAGATATCTAGTATAAGCATTTTAATTTGCACCAATTGCTTTATATTTTGAAACTCATGATAAAAAGTCGGGGCATAGGTGGTTGATAATAGTCGAATTCACTACCCAATTAATATTTGAAAAAGCTATCGCATAATGCAGTAATTACTATAATGTTACATAGTTAAATTTTAAACACATTAAACTCAATGACTTCCGGTTATTTATAGCCAAAAATCACAAGAAACGTATTTGCTAACTTAAACCCGTCCACCTATCCTTGGGTATCCTCTTTCTCGACCCTTGGGAAAATGAAAGATGTTGGTCAAAAATTTCACAAATCACACCTTTTCCCTTTGGAGAATCAAACACGAACCGACTGTAAAATGTAACCAATAGAACGTACCTAATGTTTATTCTTTGGTAACAAACACCTACCTTTAAAGATGTGATTGCAGAGAAATACGGTGCTCCTGTATATTCTATGGAACCACCAATTATTCCTATTTTTCCCGCATCTCCCTTAACCCTTCCAACTTCATCAGGAATAATAGCTTTACTAAGAAGCCTAAAAGTATTTGGCTGTAGCTTACTGTCTAAGAAATTACAGCGATCTTCAATTTCATCACAGTTTATTAAAATTAATACTAATTCAAGTACAAAGATACAAAGAAAGTTAAGTTTCATATTCAAATATTGAATATTAAATCACCGATCACTAATGAAGTGTACTGGCAGTTTCTCACTTGATAACGTCGTTAAAACTTTGTTATCAACTAGCTTACTTATTTATGTGCAGTGACTTTTATTTATACTCACGGCATATTATAAGTGTAGGATACAGGTGAAGGTCATATGAAAAAATGTTCAAAACAATTTTACTACGACAACCATAAAATATATTTTTTTATTTTAATTGTTAATTTTAAATAATATTCATCAATGTAAATAAATAAATAATAGACGTTTTATTAAAATTTTATAAGAACAAATAAACTACAACATGCAATTTTTCTCGATTGTGATTTAAGTTAGTTTCGGAACGATTACAAAATGAATAACATTATTGAAAGCCCAAATCTGATGTAATGGCAACACTTCTGTAACTTGTCAAAGTCAGTCGGCCGTGGCTCTGAAATATCAACAAAAATTTTGCTCCTGCTATTTTGGTGTAATATTACATCAAAATGGACGATAAATATGAAACTGTTAAATTGTGCTATACGGTCCACCGATACTCCAGCTATAGTAGTAACTATATACCTGAGTACGTGTTTATTTTGTAGCGTGTTGTGCATTTTCAATTTCGTTTGTAAAAAAAGAAATCCCGGTTCGTGGTATTTATTCGCGTTGTTTGCCGAGCGTCCGAGGATTGATGTGATAGCTAATTGTTTTGTGTGTTAAAGCAAATTAATGTTAGATTGGTAAGTAATTTATGATATTCCATGACGTTAAATGAATGCTTGTATTTTCAGAAATATTATGGTTAATAACCCCACCGACCAGCTGTCGAGATGGTTTACTGATAGCAATTCGCCGTCTCAATATATAATGCTAAAATTGAAAAGTCCATCAATTGTGGAGTCAATAAAATTCGGTAAATATATAAAAGCCCATGTGAGTGACCTGAAGAAATTTCAAATTTATGGTGGGGCCGAAGAAAACAATTTGTCTTTATTACTTACAGCGTAAGTACAGAAAAAATTTCATTAATTATTTAAATTAATTTACTGAATTTACTTCTCCTATTTAAGCGTGTACTACCTATAAATTATACATGTATTCTATTCTATGTAATGGTTTTTGATCCATTGTATCTGGGTGTAAATATATAATATATATAACATTGATAAAACAACAATAAATACAAACTTCACATATTTAAAACTATATTACTTAGGAAGTTGTACTCATGTGAACTTGTAAGGTAATTCTATAAATCTACCATGGTCACTACCCACGGACTAGAGCATACCAGGAAGTCATGACAAATATATGCTACTCCAAAGATGTAATTCAAGGTCACAAGTATTTGTTTCTAAGTATATGACAAATCTATGCATATTTTTTGACTTATAATAATTTTGGTATAATCTATCATTTTCTTGACTACCCGCTAAAGTACAAAATAAAATAAAGCATTGTATTCTATAACTCCAGTTGATGAAAGTCTTGATTGAACATCAGACAAGTTTTTACCTGTGATGTAGATCTGTGTACATATTTATTTTACAAAAATTTTATTATTCTGACTGACTTTTCAAAGATAAATTGTACTAATTAATTCAAGGTCAAAAACATTTGTTTCTTTGTGTATATAAAAAGTTTCAGTACACACAGAAATCAGTAATTTGAGGGTTTCAAGCACTGTATATGTATCATACTTGTACTGTGGCCCTGCAGGGTAACTATTAAATAAACCAAACCCAAACTTTTAAATCTATGAAAGACTAATATAGGTACATTTTGTTCTGGGTTTCTGGGAGTTTGGATGAAAGTTACCCTCTTCTCCCCCCTCCCCCCAATTTCAAAGCAACCCAAACTTACCAGGTATTCAAAAATGCTAAAGTCAAGGAACAATAGAAGCATGGTATTTATGGCACACCAATTTGCAGAGTTACTGTGAAACTCTCACTCATTCAATATGAATATAAATAAACAAAAGACCATACAAATACAAAAGAACATAGAACAGAAAAATAATTATATTTTTGTTACCTGACTGAGTTACAAAAATACCATGGCAGACAAGCATGGTAATTTAATACAAACAATATAAGTGCACAGAAATGCTACTTTTAGTACATAATTTTAATTAATTTTATTCTGTATAGCTCTTGTGACCATTAAATTAGTGGTTGTGTTTCACATTTATTATGAGCAATCTATTAACTATAATAATTGCCATTGCATAATTACCTTATTACCATTACCACATTACACATTAAATATATGTATAAAAATCAATAACACTTTCATTGTAATGTTTTTACCAATTTGGCTAAACTTGGTCATGAATTATTCATAGAAGTCCAGGAACGGTTTATAAGGTCAGAAAATTAAATTAATTTTGTTACAGAACGAAGTTTGCCAGGTCAGCTACTTATGTACATAAAACAGAAATAAAAAAAACTGTTTTGATAATTAGAGAGACAGAGTATTACAATTAGGTAGTTCACTGTATCTAAAATGAATTATTTTGAATTTTATTTATTTAAATTGTAGATTTTTCTTCTTGAATGGCAATCAAATCAATTTATTATTTTTCAGAAATAAGTTCACTATTTCACTAAAAACATTATGATGTCATATGTTGTGATTTCATACAAAATAAATGGAATTTGACTAGTCGGATTTTGTGTTCACAATATAAATATTTAAAATAGTATGCTCAGTTATACCATGGAATAAAGATTTTTTTTTTGTTACCTTACCAACTTATTGTAATTGCTATGGAAGATAGTAGCATGGTGATTTTGTATACAATGGCACAGAAATACCATGCTATAAAACAAAAGAAGTGTGGTATTTTTTTTCGAGCAATGTCTGTACTTGTGGTAGTTTAAAACTACTTTTATTGGATTTTTTTCTTGGGTTTTTTGTAAAAATAGGTTTAGATTTTAATATGTTAAGTTGATAAAGAATTAATAGAATCATTTAACGTTTAATGGAAAAAATAAGCAAAATTACAGCATTTCATAGTAATTTGTGTTGAAATATTTTAAAACCTATTAACCCCCGGTTTCCGAAATGCCGATCAATGTTAAAAACAATTTAATCTAAAAAAAAAATATATCATCTGATTGGTTGACTGAATTATCAACAACCAATCAGATGACTTGACAGGAGATTAGTTAATTTTAGCGTTGACAAGCCTTTCAGAGACCGGGTGTTAGTATTTATAATTCAAGTTTAAATTAGTGCTAATTAATTTAAAATACTTATAATATTCAATGCTAATATCATTATACACTAAGCAATTAATTTGCAGTTACAGACTATGCAATTAAGTAATTGGGTTTTTCGAACACAAGGTGTTAAAAATTAACAAGAAGAATTACTCTTTAAGGTTTTATTTTGACTTCCTATTATTTAATTCAATTAAATTCCTACTCCTAGAGTGGTTCCACGCGGGAATCGAAGCCTTGACACGTTGCGCGGCAGCCAGTGGCTTGGCCACCGCGCCAACCGTGCTGTCTTAGCTAATAACCTAAATAATAAACATAGCTTAAGAAGATATGTCTATTAATTAACTCACTATTATACAGTTCTTTGGACTAGTGACTCTTTTTGGTGTCCCCAAAAAATCTCAACTTTGTCTTTTAATACATTATTTAATTTTGTTCATAAATGTCAATGATTATATACTACTAATGTGCTGGCTCAGAAATGTGTTAAACCTTATTCTGGTATTATATTATATCACAGAGCTATAGCAATGTTATTACTTTGCAATAGCTTGACCAGAAAATCAGCTCTGCAAATAATTAAAAAATTTCAATATCATGCTACTATTAGCCTTGTGGTTTTAACTTTTGTAGTATAAATAGGAAGCATTTTGTCACAATAGTTAGATTAGTATTGTTTTGGAGGAGAATTAAATCGAATGTTTTTATTTTAAAAATACTGTCACTTAATAAAAATGAATGAACGGATCGAAAACGGGGCGCGGGAGGTAGGGTTGTCTGGCGCACCAATCACACGCTCGGATTGGCTACCTCGCACCAAATACCCCGCACCCCGCCTGCGTACCATAGAGATAGAGATTATACATAAAGTTTTAAACTTTCAGTGGTCTCAAGAAGGACAGTACGTCAGAAGTATTTCGGCTGCGGTGCCGGACGGCAGAAGGCTTGTTTCTCCCGATACAATACCTAAAAATAGTACCTCTGCAATCCTGGGGTCCCGCCTATAATTATACCATATGGTATGTAGAACTTAATGGAAAGAATCAAGAACAAATAATTAGTAACGCAATGGAAACTATTAACTTGGTAAGTTTAAAAATCTATTTTTCTTTACTAATATTATAAAGAGGTAAAATTTGTAAGATGTGTAGGGGTAGAATTTTTAATCTTTTGATCTGACTTCCAAAATTCTTTCACTTATAGATAGCCACAATGTTCGTGAGGGCTAAATACAGGCTATAAATTATACTTGATTTGTGAATTTTAGTCGAGCTATCGCTTTAAACGCAGCTTGTTTTAAATCCATTACTTTAAGTCGCGTGCGACGCCACGGGCGGTAATAAGTAATATTGTAAAACTGAAAAGTTTGTTTGTGTTTTTTTGAACGCGCTTATGTCAGGAACAGCTGATTCGAAAATGTGATTTAAAAAAGTGTTACATATTCCTTAATCGTGGGATCGTAATACATTTTAAAACACCACGCTACGGTCATTAAAAGTTGATCAGTGTAAAGTAGCTAATCTTCTTAAATTCGTTGAAAAGAGACACCATGGTATTTTGTCGTGTAATGAACTTCTTTGACGACGTGGTATTTTTTTACCTTATAGTTTTATTCTTCCTTTATTTAGCTATTTTTAACATTGTAGTAGCATTCATTTGTTTTAAAAAAAGTATTGTTTTTATTTCAAGTTAGTAATTTTATTAATGTATCTGTATTCTAATTTTCAGCGTAAAGAAGAAGAAGCGGTGCGTTTGTTGCTTAAACATTTGCGCCGGCGACGGTACAAAGACGCTTTCGAAGCACTGTCTCGTGAAAGTGGAGTACAGCTTGAAGGGCCACTACAATCCAAATTATGGAACGCACTTGTTGAAAAAGGAGATTTCAAACAAGCTGAAGAATTGTTCGATCAAGCTATCGCAGGTAAGATGTTGTTTTGTTTAAAATATGTATTACTAAGTACTCTCGCGCAGTTTCACCCGCTGCTCGGCTCGGAACCGCTGGTTGGATTGCCAAAATTCTTTCACTGATAGATAGTTACAATGTTCCTGAGTGCTATAGGCTATAAAACATCACGCTACGATCAAATGAAGCCGAGCACGGGTGAAAACGCGCGAGAGTAGCTAGTATAATACAAAGATATTTCCCAAAAACCGACACCGCCAACACAGTCAGCCTCAAACACACAACAAGACAGTCAATCACAAAAGTTTAATAGACATCATTGCTTTGTTATATATTTTCACTTCCCTTCTTGATAGCTAGAAAGTTTTAAATAGGTTCTAGACACGGATAAGATATACTTGGTTGAAATCAATGCATTGATTTAAATATATGCTTGCTTAATTTAATTCAGTCATTAGCTATAAGTATCAACAATCATAAATAATTATTAGATCGATGATTTGTAATAGTCATATTACTATAACCATTTATTAGCTATTTGGGTGTTTTAATAATGAAACTGTTAATTTCGCTAATTCTTTTTTAATGAATTTGTCTGGTGTCATTAATTTCATGGCTCATTATTTAATACTTTGCTATTATGACACAGGCGGACGAACAGAAAGCCCGATCAATGTTAAAATCAACTAACTTGGTGTCAAATCTCTTGTCAAGTCTTCTGATTGGTTGTCGATAATTCAGTCAACCAATCAGATGACTTGACAAGAGATTAAATTGATTTTAACATTGATCGGCCTTTCGGAAACCGGGTGTTAGTTAAAGGGCTCGATTTACTAACAAAATAAATTAGAACAAGATAACTATTTTAAAAATATGAATATTTCAAATTTCAGCAATGATGTCTATTAAACTTTTAAATACCTATGAATGTTTGAATGAATTTGTAACACTTTCACCCAAAAACGACTTACTGTAACTAAATTTAATTTGCCATAATGATAAAGATAGTCGAAGCCGCTGTCAGGTGCTAGTGATCTAACTTACACACTTTTTTAATGACGTACAAAGGAGATTCTTGCTCCTTTCTCATCCTTAGAACCTAACTTGACTTAATTCTGTTTTTGACGTTGAAGTCGGACGGTCCGCTATTTTTTATATTATTAAAACTATTCATGCATACGAATAGTTTTAATAATATAAAAAATAGCGGACCGTCCCTGTTTCGCAGCGCACCGGGTATCTGACTATCCAGGTGACAGTCATTTGTTTTGTTAGCGGACTGGTGCATAAAGGTTATTTTATTTTCAGAAAAAACCCTTTTTCCTCTAATTTTATTATACTTTGTAACAAATATTGTCAAAATTACTGACCAGTCCAGGCGTTACTGAGTCATGAGCTTACACACACATTTATCAATTCATTTTTATATTATAGAAGAAGATAAATTCGATTGTAACATATATTGACCTTTTTATCCAACAGAAGGCGAACTGGATTGGTACCTCAGTTGGCAGCCATACAGTCCTCACTGGAGGCAGATGTCCGCGTGCTCCACGCAGGTGGAGGACCGCCTGTGGAGTGGAGAGGCTCCGCCCCCTCCTCCTGCTAGGCAGCACGACCTGCTCTGTGCTGATAGAGATCCGAGGCCCGATACTGCGGTGAGTTTATCTTAACTGGTAACATTTAATCTTTTATTGCTCGGTTGGTGCAGTGGCTTTTCAACTGAACGTGAACGTGAATTTATATGTTTGTAAACGCACCCAGGAGAAAAGGCCAGTGTAGGAAACGATCTTTAAAAAAATAAATTTTGGGGCTCACCCAAAAGTGACTTACCGTAACTAGCTAGCAACAAACCAAACTTTTGGGGGAGCCCTTTAATAAAATGTATACATTACATAATAAAAGGTAAGCGCGCTCCATCGTCGACCGCATCGTCGCTTTCCATCAGGTGAGATAGCGGTCAAGCGCGAACATATAATAAAAAAAAAAAAAACAAAAAACGTTAACCATATAGTATACTTATAAAAACTTGCACCTACCCTACTCCTGTCATAAAAGGAAACTAAAAAAAATGGCGAATCTCTTCTCCCCGAATACTAGGACAATTAAACAGGGTCCTTTATAGTCAGAATCCTATTTGTGATACCTCTGCTAGAATGCTTAGACTACATTGCTTGTCTAGCCATAAGCTGTGGTAAGTCTAGATTTTCTTAGAAGAAAATTATATAAGAATCAATTTGTTCCCCGTTATATTATCAATTTTAGGACTAGTGTCGATTAATTATGTAGAATGAAATATAAAAAAAAAACACAAACGCGCCTTGTATGTTCCGTAGAGTTCGAAACTTAAATCTCGGATTTTAAATAGGCAACCGTTTTTACATTGCTATGCTGAACGATATTCTATTGGTAAGTTATTAAAGACTTGTTTCCATTGTACAGGAAGCGCCAGTAAACGGCGCGGAACAGAGCGAGGCGTGCGAGAGCGCATGCGCCGGAAGCTTGGCCTACAACAAGCCCGGACCTCGGGGCGGACATCAGCTCGTCGTGGACTCTACAACTGGTAAATATATTTTACTAGCTATTCTCGGTCGTAGCATGATGTCTTATAGCCTATGACCTTCCTCGATAAATAGACTAACGAACACAAAGTATTGTTCAATTCGTACCAGCTGTTCCGGAGATTAGCGCGTTCAAACAAACTCTTAAGCCACAAGAAGCTGGCAACGCACTTGTAGTAACTCCTTTGGTACTGCGAGTGTCTATGGACGGCGCCGATTGCTATAAGCTCGCTATTGTTTTTCATATTATGTTTTTGTTAAAATAAACTAAATCAATATTGATTAATAAAAAAAACAACCTCAATCCTACCAGGTACCCTATATCTCTTCGGTGGCTGGAATGGCTCAGAAGATTTGGATGATCTCTGGTCGTTCTGCACGACCAGTGAACGTTGGACTCTGCTGTGTAAGCACAGCGGTGAGGTCGGAGGTCCATCTCCTCGGTCATGCCACAAGATGGTCTTTGACGCCGTTAACCGACGCCTCTATACACTTGGCAGGTACGTTGATAGATATCACTGCAAAGTATAAAACAAAGTCGCTTTCTCCGTCCCTATATCCCTATGTATGCTAATATCTTTAAAATACACAACTAATTTTGATGCGGTTTTTTTAGTAGATAGAGTTTAGTAGAGATTTAGTGATTGAAGATGAAGGTTTATTTGCGTAATAACATCCATAATCTAGTAAAAGAGAAATTGACAGTTTTGCACCCGTGCAAAGCCGGGCCGGGGCGTTAGTTATATATCCAATAAAGTGTGTGAGAGCCATGCTTCGGCACGAATGCCAAAAAGCCATGGTCGGTCCGACCAGAGTGATACCACACCCTCACAAAATACCATCCTGAAGTATGCCTAAATCTTTAAAACTGCGCAACGGATTTTGATGCAGTTTTTGAATAGATAGAGTGATTGAAGAGGGACTTTTATTTGTGTAACTCCTCCATCCATTACACAGTTAAAAATAAATTAAGTATCAGCCTGGCACCTGTGCGAAGCCGGGCCGGGGCGTTAGTTATATCCAATTAAGTGTGTGGGAGCTATGCTTCGGCAAGAATGGGTCGGTCCGATCGCAGTGATAAAATACCATCGTGAAACAACGATAGCGTTTTTTTTGTGAGGGGGAATATCATCAAATGACTTCTCCCGCCCAGCGCAAAAGACTAAAAACCTCCCTGTTCCTTCTCCTGCTCTGGGCCGAGGTCGCGATTCCTAATTGCGCTTACCCCGCAACCCCGGCTGAAAACAACAATAGCGTTGTGTTTCGACGTGTAAATGAGGTTACTGTCTGTTCAATCCATTAGTGTTTTAAGAAGAAATAATTTATCCTGCTTTGCGATATAAGGACGCTTTCGTTTAGAGATTCTTTTTATAATAATTATCGTATATTTGCAGATACCTGGACAATGCGCAACGCGTGCCGACAAACATGAATGTAAGTTAATTTTTCCTATTCTTATCTGGCAAATATATTATTTTAGAATGGTTATTAGAGGTCTTAGTCGCTATGAGCCAATTGTAGTACTACACAGATTGAAGGCAACGTCCATATTCAGTAACCACTTATTTGAAGTTCGAAAATTTTAATATACATTTCAAAACACATGTAAAATCGACTTACAACCCTTTGTTTTATAGTTAACATTCGTACCATCGGATCATAATTTACTCTTGATTTTATATATCGTTTGATACTTAGGTAATGTGTTAAGAGATGCAGGCCAGATTCTCGCACGCAACCTTTTTTCAATACCTACATCAGTTAAGAAGAAATATTTGTATTCTATATTATCTGTTTTTGTTTATTTCTTTCTAATTATGTTACTGGCTAGCTAGTATCGCGCGGTTCCATTTTTCGTAGCGTGATGTTTATAGCCTATTGCACTCAGAAACATTAAAGCTATAAGTATTTAATTCTGAGCTCCGTTCCAAAGATTACCTTCTACATAGGTGCAAACTTAAAAAAAAAACCCTTTTGTCAAAAAAAAATTCTTTCACTGATAGACAGCTACAATGTTCCTGAGTACTATAGGCTATAAAACATCACGCTACGATCAAATAGAGCCGAGCAGCGGGTGAAACCGCACGAGACTAGCTAATATTTTAATATGACTTTTTGTAACTGGACAGAGTGACCTGTATATGTACGACATCGCGAGCGGGGAGTGGTCGCTGGTATGCTCGGACACGTCGGTGGTGGGGGGGCCGCGCCTGGTCTTCGACCACCAGATGTGCATCGACGCCGACACACAGACCATCTACGTCTTCGGGGGCAGGGTGCTTCCCGCCAACACGTATGTATTACCTTTAAATAGTATCTATTATGAGACATACAGTACGGCCGACGTATCTTGGCGAGTCTGAAGTTAGCCGTTTGTCTGCGCAATAAATCTTTTAGGAACAGAATTGTATTCGGCTGACTTCAGACTCGCCAAGATACGTTGGCGGTATTGTACTAGATTCACTGATAACTAGCGGTTCCAAAGATTATCCCATACATACAAACTTACTAATTTTACCTCTTTATAATATTAGTATAGATAAAGACTTGAAAATAATCACATAAATCGGGTAATTTCCTAGGTCATAAATAAATTAATTCGACGTTTCAATCTTACTTATATTATAAAAAAAGTTGCGATGTTTGGATGTTTGTTACTCAATCACAAGGGGCAGGAAGCTAGTTGCAAATACTTCAGGCATTAAATTTTTATTCTGTTTATTTTATACCTACAGAGAGGAGGTAGTAAGCCCTCAGTACTCCGGGCTGTTCGCGTACTACATAGCGACGAACACGTGGCAGCTAGTACTGAGTGACCGCCACGAACTCAACGCGCCACAAGCACGCGTCTCACATTCTATGCTCTTCCACCCGGTAAGTAAGTTTACGTATTTAGGTATAGGCCGACTAAACCGGCGTGAAACAGCCGTAGAGTCATGTTCCGGACTTCACACAAAATTGGCGTGAAACGCCCGTATCGTTGTGTTTCGCCCTTTCTACCCTCCCCGTCCCCCATCTGAAATCACCCTAATTATAAAATCCCCGAAACCTTTATCTCAAAAAGGTAGACAATCGTAGTTTCTCTAGGACTGTGCGGTATCTATTACCATCAGGCTATAATCAATCTATACTTGGCCAGTTTACGTCTGTACCACATTAAAAATCTTATTTTGTTACACTTTTTTTATTGATTTTTCTAATTTAACTTTAGATTACCTAGTAATTAATGCTATTTTGGCAATAAGTAACAACATTTTTTATTTTATCTTTATAACAGTTCAAAAAAAAATATAATTTTGGAAATCCGATCAGCGCTTCCTATATGTTACCCCTTACATATACACTTACACATTACAAATGTTACCTGTTTATAATATTAGTATAGATGTATTGTTTGATATCGATATAACGAATATCAAAATATTGAAAAGGTCGATTTTACCGTAATTTGGTAGTTTTCTAGATCAAAAATATAGTTGCAGAGAATGTCTTAAGGCATTAAGTCTGCCATTCAGACTGTTTTGTGTGCAGAAGAAATAAATAAAAAAAATGAATGAAAAAAAAAATATTTTGACTTTTAAATACATTGAATTATTATAATACAATCAGACGTTCATTCTTTGATTTGACGATATATGTTTATCATAATTATAACATTAGTCTAGTTAATTAAAAAAAGTACTCTTTGACTTAAAAACATTATGACGTCATATTTTGCGATCTCATACAAAACTTATAGAAAAGTATCGTTTTTGACATTTCATTATACGATATTGAATTTACTTACATGGAAACTACTGAATAGTAAGTGTTAATAAGTAGGTTCGTTGGTGCAGGTACAGCGTCGGCTGTACATGTTCGCGGGGCAGCGCAACAAGGAGCAGCTGGTGGACCTGTGGTGGTGGGACGTGGCGTCCGGCCAGTGCGGCGCGCTCTGTCGCGGCGCCGTCGCCCCGCCCCCGCCGCAGGCAGGCTTCACGCAGCGCGCCACGCTCGACCCAGACACCGACGAACTCTTCGTGCTCTCTGTAAGTTTTTTTTTACTTTTCCCCATATTCGGATTTTCTCCTGTGTCTTGAGTGCGTTTATAAACATACAATTTCACATACACATCACACCCAGACCCGGAACAACAATTTGTAAATCACACAAAGAGTTGTTCCTTGCGAGAATCGAACTCACAACACGTTGAACGGCGGCCAGTTGTGCCAATCGTGCAGTCAAGCCAAGTTGCTTCTAATCCTTACAACTAGATTATAAGATAGTATTTTTGTATTTGAAACCACCATGTAAAAAGGACATCGTGAGGAAACCTGGACTTACAATTTCAAATTATTAGTTAGAAATCGCTAATGCGTCTTGAGCTAACGTGTTGAATAATGCTCAAACTTTCTCCGTATCCGCGATAAGACCAAAAAACCTCATTTTTTAGTCTATAGCCGATGAACGCGCATATTATGAAAACTGATTAATATTTCCCGCCATTACGAAACATTTTTCACAACTCGTCTCGTTTTCTCTTATTTTATTCGGAAGTGTTTTGAAATCATCGAGAAAGAAAAATTATCAATTCTATACCTTAATACCAAAGCAACAAAGTTTAAATTAACTGAACAGAATGATAAAATTCAACCAATTTTGTTCCAGGGTATGAGCAAGGAGAAAGACAAGCGTGTCTATAATAGTCTGTGGGTGTTCTCCCTGCGCCGCCTGACGTGGTCGTGCGTGTACCGGAACGATAGTGTCGCGCCCAACGAGCCCAGGCCACGCTTCGCACATCAACTCGTCTACGATCCTGTTAAGAAGGTAAGCTACTGTTTTTATGTGTCGAAAACAAATTTACAGACATATCAGAATCGACTCATCGATGTAACAAAGAAATGAATTCCAAAACTGTTTAAAAAAGAGTAACCATGGAGTTTCTTGCTCGTTCTTCTCCATAGGAACAATCTACATTTTGAAATGAGCTAATACGCATAAAGTTAAACATCTTTAAAAAAAATTTTTTTTTGCTTGACCTTCAAAAGTGCCTACTGTGGTGTCTTTTTGACAACGACCCGACGAATTAGTGTTAACTGTGTTGCCGGCGTTTTGGGGATTAGGGTTTTTGAGGCTTTGAGATTGGGCCTACGATAACCACACTCACGCGGTGAATAAAACGCTGTGGTTGTTTCACGCCAGTTTTTTGTTAGGTATCACTACCGTCTACCTGACCCATTCGTGCCGAAGCATGGCTCACTCTCATAACATACTAAATTTATTGAAAATAATGACTTCACGTGAATGTTATTATCTGTTGGTACCTACATAACATTTTCAATATTTTGTAGGTAATTTTAATGAAATAGAAAAAAATTGAAAAGTATAATTTTTGATATTTGGATAAAAGTATTGAATTTGACTAGTTGGAAATTACCGTGTTGGCACGAATTGTCTGTACTCAAAGACTAAAGGTTCCTCTTCTCCTGCAGATACATTACTTATTCGGCGGCAACCCGGGCAACCAGGGCAGCCCCCGCGTCCGGCTGGACGACCTTTGGGCTCTCCGCCTGCGTCGGCCGACGCTGGGCGGCGTGCGGCAGTCAGTCCGCGCGTCGCTGCGGGAGGCTCGCTACCGCGCGCTGGCCGCCGCCGCCGCGCGGGGGGACGATGGCGCCGCCCTCGCCGCGCTGCACTACCTCAGGAACGATCTGCACGAAGCGCTCGACCATTCCAACAAAGAACAGGTCACTCATCTATACTTAATAAAAAAAATATTGCCTTATCGTTAAAATTATTAACTATACTCAGAATTTTAATTAGATTCCTGATTTGACAATTTCAGTGTTGCAACGTTATGACAAGTACTTAATAGTGACGTTTCGAAATTATTCGATATTGAAATCGATTATTTCCGAATCGATAACTCTCGTTTATAATTTTACTCTCGTAAACTAAATTTATCAGGAAATTAAATATTTCTGAACCGATAATTTAGTTTTGACAATTAATTAACGATCTGATACTTTTCTTTTATAATTCAGTGTGAAATGAATAAAAAATGTGATCTATTATGGTAATAATTTATTTATGTATTATCGCCGTCATCGCTAACGCTATCGCTGTTACTTTCTGTAACATTTATTATTAATTGTGTTTGTGATGTTTATTGTCAATTAACATATCTAGCTCACTCATTTTTTCCTCTTCTTTGACAACATGGGATACGCATTTAGACCATTCGGTAGCCGTAATTTTTTGAATGTCTTCCTGTAACTGATTCAGTAATAGTTTATCAATTTTTGTGTTCATCATACATGTGGTATCATTATGTCATAAAATGACAGTGGTTAATGTCAAATCTGGAATCGAATTAAAATTCTGACTATACACTTTACAATATTGTATTTGAAAATAAATATTTTTGTTAGTTTAGGTAATTATTGAAAGAAAACATTATTGATATTTTTTTATATATCTAAAAGTTGCCCAAAAATTGCATGTAAAAATGTTATTGAAGTATTTACTTAAATCAATGTTAAGTTGTGAACTAAATTGATATAATCTATTTGTGTATTTTATATATCGTCTATGATATAAAAAGATACACTTGTATTATTTTTCTTACTTAACCACCTAAACCGATAGAGAATAGTCGATTAAAATTCCCCAAAATTAGTTTTTTTCCAGTGCCACAAGACTATGTAGATCTGTGTGTAATTAACCAAGTTTTATGTTGTGTGCAGGTGTCGAGATTCCAGAAGCTGGCGACAGTACTGTTCGCAGGTCCGGGCCCCGCGGAGCCGGCCCCGGCGACGCTGACCCCGCGGCGCACGCGCAGCCTGGCCCGCCGCCGCCGCGCCATGCCCGCCGCTACTGATATCGCGCTGTCACTAGCTCAGGTACAGGTACTTGCCGGCTCTAACACATTATACATCATACATGTGTAATTTAAGTGTTATTTTTTACCCTATTAAATTAATAAATATAATTTATTGGTTAGTTGCCTTGTCCGACTTCGCACAGGTGCTATTTCTTAGCGTTCCAAGATGATTGTTTTTTTTTTTTCATACAAGTATTTTTCTAAATACAGAAGCTCAGAAGCTATCAGGCTCCCTGTTCTAGTTTTTTATTTAAAAGTAATTTATGGATCAAAATAACATTTCTTACACAACTTATAATAATTTGATGACTTAACTTGATATCATTGCGTTTTTAGGTCTTAGGTGCGGACGAACCATATCCAGAACCCACGCAACCATTCGAAGAAATAAAGGAACCAACACCTGACACTTGGGACGTTGGTCCTGATGACGAGGATCCCTCGGAACAGGAGGAGACAGCCGAGTGGAATGCGCGGGCGCAGCGCATGAAGCTGTACGATTGGCTGTGTAGGTTCTTTAGGCCCTCGACCGTGCCGCCCAAGGGTGATATCACAGATATGGTTATACTGTAAGACGGACTATCATGTAGGTCGAGACACACTTTGATATGATGATACTGACGGGCAGGTAACAATTACTTGGCAACTCTACAAAATTATACCACCCTCAGACTAAACAGTATGCAACATACTTTTGTACTCAAATAACTGCATTTAATTCCTTTAAGTAAATCGGACCGCATGCTCAGTAGTCTAAATAGTGACTTGTAAGTTTGTCCACAGTTACCTGCCTTCTTATCGAGCTTGTAAGATAACAGTCGTGTATCGTTATAAGCACTAAGTTTAGGTATTTGTGAAGTGGAAGACTTCTCACTACTTTTGATTACATCTACTGCCATATTGGTCAAAAATATGAAAAATTAAATTCTTCCATTACATATTAAGTACGCGTAATTTGTACCCCTATCTATAATAATAATGTTTATACGTAAATGTGACGTATAAACAGCAAACGTTATAGTCATATAAATCACAATTTCTTATGATACTAGACTTCTTACTTTAATGCCGTATTTAACTGTATTTAATCACAAATTGTAGTTGATAAGAATTGTAATATCATATTCGACTTAGATTTTATGGCCGCAAGAACGTGTTAGGTGTATTTACGAAGCGCCTTGATAAAATTATGATTTATTTATTTTTATGTTGAAGCTGTCAAAGGAGTTTTTCTTTCGTCTTCAATGTTATTCTTTGTCTCGTGGCCGCCATACATAATAATAAATAATGTATTAACATTGAAATATAATAATCATGTAATCTGTATTGTTGTTCTAATATCGACGTAATTCACTATTGACAATATTTTTGTACACAAAAATGCAAAATGTTTTCAGTTTACATTTTTATACATGCATTGTATGAGCATTTTTAGTTAAATATAATAAAATTACTAATATTTAATTGACTTGTTGCAAGACTGACATAATGTATTTGTTAATTACTATTTTATAATAAAATACTACTAAAAAGCGCTCAAAATCACCAAAGTGTTCACTCGATTTTTGAATCGACACATTCCCTGAAGACAGAATACTCGCCAGCTAGATCTAGTTACATTATATTTTTTTTCTTCTAAATTTGAATTTCGAATGTCATTTTTCTAATATTTTCCCGCTCAATCTTGAATTCAGAATGCAGCAAAACATTTTGTCAATCTTGCAAGTAATATGTACATACAAGAATGCCTACTCGAAGCTAAATATGATGAGTGTGAGTAATTAAGTGCAACTTAGAGGCTTTGTTACCTTCGTAACATTGTAAATAACTTTTTTATATACAAGAAATGTATCTAATAAGCGTGTAACCGTGTTCCCTTGAAGTCTAGTCAGCATTGAATACTAAGTTATACGCGATACATTCACGACATTTATTTAAATAGGATACAAAAGACAATAATAATGCATTTCATTGTTGATATTTTAACAATTTAAGTGAAATTTTATATGCACTAACCTTTTTTCTGGCAGCTTAAGTAAGAGTTTTGACGCAAACAATGCACATTTTACAGTCAGCTTTTATTAGAATTAGAAATAATGGGACGCGTGAGTTTACAGTCTGTGATAAAATTGCTGTAACGATAAGTGTAGTTATTGGAGTGAGGAGCCCCAGCGAGGGCCTTCGAGCTAGGGATTGTTGCCAAATTTTAGTAATACCACTGGAGAGAATGCCTCCTATATATTTTATTTTACGTTTTAATTACGTAAACTTAAAAGAAATAGTGTTTTAATATTGTTTTTTTTTATATAAGAAACGATCGACTGTTTTCGGCATTTGGTTTGTTTTAATAAGTTTTTAGGGTATGTAGTGTTCAATGGTTTAATATTTATGTGTAATCATATGTTTAAGAATGGATCAGTGAAGTCACTGTTTTGTAGTATTTACATTATCGACGTGTTTCATGTGTTTCTCATAGCGTGAATTATGACATCTCAAGCAATTTGTTCGACATGTGCAATTATATGACGGAAACAAGCATTCACGTTTTAGCGAGATTTAAAATGTGGACATGCTTTCAGCACTAGAACTAAGTTGTAATGCGTAAATTTATAATATAATCTGTGAAGCTCAATGTAAGGTTTTGTTTTAATTTAAAATACTCCGATGTACAAGCAGGTAGAGCGACCATAATTACCACTCTGTTGCCAGCTGTACATAATGTGACCTAAATACTCGAGTGTATCTGTATATATTAGTGTTGTATACGTAAGTAAAAGAAATTACGTGCGTACGCAAGATACGTCGTGTAAATATGCATTTTATTCGTGTAAGAATAAATTATTTGTTTTCAATTTGTAACTTGAAGCATTCTCAGTCTGTATGTACATAATAATATAATATTATGCGAATTAAACTTCAGTCGTTTTATTAATACATCATTTTAAGGATAAAACGACACTCAAATTCCCCTAACGAAATTTTAGTACTTCCCTTATGTAAACACTGGGGGTGTTAAAGGTAATATTTCCTAATCAAGGGATAGGGTGGCAATGACTTTTGCCTATACTGTGCTAATCTTGCTTCGAAAATAACTTATCAAATTTGAGGATAATACAGCATAAGATGTCCTAATTATCTCAAAAGAGGTAGAGGAGATGAAATAAGCGAAATATTCATCACTTTGAAATACCCGCTTTAGTTTTAGTAACGACACACTTTGTATTGAGGGATAAGGAGAAGGTGTTTTTGACAGACATAGGTCTTTTAAATATTCCTCGCTGTCACACCTGAATACAACTTTGATGTGTGTTCAACACAAAACTTGTCCACGTATGGAAGTTGAATGTCTTTGATTCGATTCGATTTATTTTGTCAAATGATAAAAATAACAGGCTCCTCAAACCCCAAACAATAACAAGACAATCCTTCCTCATCCTCAAACCCCAAATTGCTTAAATCATTTACAACCAACTAGAGGCCGGCAACGGTGTCCGTTATCCAGGCCAGATGTTGTCGACAATGGTCATTTGAATCTTATAGATAATTAGTTGTGCGGCTTCTGTAATTGTTGCGCAAATTTTTAAATTTGTTGCGCTTATAGTTTTTTAATTATTTCACAAAAACATTTCCTGCTGGCGTAACGTTACCACAGCCAGACCTTTTTCTTTCTAATGGGAATATTTAAATAAATATTAGCTATAAAATTAGTTGTCTAGATAAAGTAAATGTTGTGCCTTATTTTGTATTTGTTCTTTCTTCGGTTGCGAAGTTATTCGAGATTTTGCTGCGGTAACGTTTTTGGTTTTGCTAGATCTTTGAAATGGTTAAGCGGATTCTTATCATATTTTGTACACGACTTCCGAGGACTTAGTTTAAATTTGTTGTGCAATAACAAAACCAGAATAATGCATATTTTAAAGGTTTTTTCATTAAATAGAAAAACACTTCAATTGGCCCCAGCACTCCCAATAAGAAGTCTAAAGACTTACTTCAAACGTAATTTTAAAGCTTGTAACTGCCTTCAAATGTATGTGAAGTTTCATTAGTATCCCGTAAGTATTTAACAAGTTATGATGATATTCAGTTCTTCACGAGCACGGTCTTAATGCACGCGGTGTTATTTGGCCACTGGCTTGGATATATGAACTGAATGTTATGTCAATGATTAGTTGTTTAGATCAGTTGTATATCAGTAAAATTTCAGCTCAATACATTGGATAATTAATGAGATAATACTATTAAAGTCATTAGGAAGTGAATGACCGTGGTAAGCCGACCAAGTTTAGGTGGTTACGAAAAAGTGTCTGTCACAACCCTGAGTAAATAAAAGTCACTCGGCACACCACCTGCCAGCACATCAACACAATTTTATTTAAAAATCTACATTTTGGGCACACACATCACTATGTCACAAATTGCTGAAGTCCTCTCTAACCAGAAATCCTTGGAGGAGAGGTTCACACCCTTAGAGGCGATGTTCACGCAGAAGATGGAAGCAGTTCAGGCTCAGATCCAGGCAGCCGGTCCCGCCAAGGACACCATTGCTAAGGTGGCAGAGGAGTTCCGAACATTTAGGGAACTAATGTTCGGCTTGCTGGGGCTTCTTCGTCATCAGATCACCGAGTGCTCCCGGCAAATAGATGAAATGGAGACAAGGAGTCGCCGAAAAGCACTAATTATTCAAGGTGTACCTGAAAAAGATGGTGAAGATTGTAGAGATGTCATATTAGATGTTGTTAAAACAAAACTGGGCCTTAATCTCACCACATCTTCCATAAAAGCCTGTCACAGACTGGGACAGACAAGTGCTGACCATCACCGGCCTCTTCTCATCAGGTTTGCAAGTATAGACAATAAATTGTCAGTTTGGCGGGCCAAAACCAAATTGAAAGGAACCAAGATTGCAATCAGGGAGTTTTTGACAAGAGAAAGGCAGAATGCCTTCTTGAAGGCGCGTCAGCACTTCGGTTTGCGGTCTTGCTGGACTCAGGATGGCGTTATACACATCAAGGCATCTGATGGAAGCAGGTACAGGGTGACATCAATTGTTGAGCTGAATCCTGTTCTGGCCAAATACCCGAAGATGCAAGGTGCGTCTTCATCCGGTGCCAGAAGGGATGCAGAGGAGACCGTTGGGAACCTGAAAAGCACACGCAGATAAGTACCTTCCTACTAGCAGTATTAGACGCACTGCTAACGCAAATACCGCTCAATTTTCTACTTATGTACTTACCTGTGCGTTTGTCCCATCACTTATCTAATAATTTTGAACTTTTAATTATCTCCATTAATATATTTGTAACCTCTGATCTTAAATATCAATTTCTTTCACTTGGCATAAGGGTAGTTATATGTTTTAAAGTTCATTTATTTCGTTTTACCTCCTGTATATAATTTTGATATCTCACAACAACTTCTTTTGTTACTCTTAAATTTGTAAGTTATTTAAATTGTTTATAAACCGTCATTTTATAATTTATTAATTTTATTTTTTATTATTCTAAGTCAGTCGTCACGTTTTATTTTTGTTACTGATGACAGATTGACAATTGACGTTTCTCTTTAGCAAAGCAGCCTGTTTTCTATTACATTTTTTTTGCGTTTAGTTAAGTCTTATGAAATTTGTATTTGTTTTTGTTGCTTGTTACTTTTATCTTATCTCTTAAATCTTTGCCAATTTATTTTAACTACATTATTGTGTTTAGTATGCAACTTTTACTGTTTGTTAAAGTTTCTTTCAGAATAATGTCTCTTGCTTGTTAGTGACGACTGCAGTTTGGTTTATTTTTGTTTGTTTTTTTTATTATTTTGAGTACGTTTTGATGCAACCAAGTTATAACTTTTTATCTTCTCTGTGTTTATGTAGATCGATGTTTTTTTTTGTACCTATTGTTTTGACTTTTTATATCAACATGCCATGTTTCGTTCATATTTTTTTTTTTTCTGTGTTGATGTCGGCTGGTGGGTGGTGCAGGGTTGTACAACCTTTTTTAGGTCAAGCAAACTATTTTCGCGATATTTATAAATTCTTAGTTTCTAATAATTATTTATTCGCATACCTATATTATACCTATTTATATATTTGTTTATACATACATATATATATATATTGGTGTCCATGTCTGATGACGATTCATTTTTAACAGCCAATTTATCTTCAGAAAACGATAGCTTTTGCTCGATTAGCGAGTCCTTGACTGATTTTATTCACAATACTTTTGTCGATAAAAATAACCGCTTGTTCAATGTCTGTCATATAAATGCACAAAGCATTCCAAGCCACCACAGCGAACTATTTGATACATTCAAAAACAGCAATGTCCACGCCATCCTGATATCTGAAACTTGGCTAAAACCAGCACTGCCGTCCACAACTTATGCTCTCCCAGGTTACGTCCTTATAAGGAATGACCGGACTGTTAGGAGAGGGGGTGGTGTGGGTATATACCTGCGCAGCGAGTTCACGTATAAGGTCCTCTTCGCTTCTCCTTCTGACTGTCCTGCGGAGTACCTTTTCCTTGAAGTTGGTAGCCAAGGGGGGAAAATTGTATTGGGTGTTACTTACTGTCCTCCTACCGTGGATTATTTCACTGACTTCGAATCGGTTCTTGAATCTTTGGGTTCTGAGTACACTCATCACATAATCATGGGCGATTTTAACACCAATCTCCTATCCCATGAATCCCATCGGTCCCGTAAACTCCTTCACATTATAGAATCAGCCAATTTCCATGTATTAGCTCTAAATCCCACCCACCACAACATCATGGGTGATGATTCTTGGCTGGATCTAATCCTTACCTCTAATCCTGCCCTTGTATCCTATCATGGTCAACATGACGCTCCAGGATTTTCTCACCATGACCTCATCTTCCTATCCTACATCCTAAAACCGCCCAGGGTCAGGCCTAAGGTTGTGTACAGGCGTTGTTTTGCGCGGGTGGATGAAGCAAAGTTGCAAAGGGATGCATCATTGATAGACTGGGAGCCTCTAATGGAGGCGACTGGGATCGATGAGAAAGTTACAATTTTTAACACAACTGTGACTAATTTGTATGACCACCACGCTCCCCTCAGGAAAGTAAGAATAAAGCGGCCGCCTGCCCCATGGATGACGCGGGGGATAAGGATGGCAATGCGGCGCCGAGACCGTGCTTTTCGTATGCATCGAAGGGATCGTACAGAAGAAAATTGGGCAGCTTATAAGATTGCAAGAAATAGGTGTAACCAGATGGTACGCAACGCTAAGCGCCGCCATGTTCTCGAAAATATCTCTAATTCCTCTTCCGCTGATATCTGGAAATTCCTTGGAACTCTAGGTATCGGCAAAGCGCAATATCCAGGCCTTCCCAACTCGATTGACTTAGATGATCTCAACAAACATTTCTCCACAGTCCCTCTTATGGATCATCTAGTCAAAAAACGCACCGTGGACTTTATTTCTGGTCTGATGCGTCCCAACATCTCTCATCCTTTTCTCTTCGTACCAGTTGAGTCGTCGGAGGTCCGTAAGATAATCCTATCC